AGTGAAACCAATGATGCTCTTGCATTCTATTATTAAAATTCATACATAAACTCAAAACATAATACCGATCACTTCCAATAATAAAAAAGTTCGTACAGCATCAAAAACTGATCAATTCATTGTGGATTATAAACAGTTAGAGTGTAAAGTCTCAATATATAATAATAAATATCATATGGAAAGTTTTACACTTATCATAAACAGATAATGACTATTATATAATTAGTTTATTGTAATTCTATCTATACTTAAAGATAACGTTACTTTGCTAACAATAATCAAGAATATAATACCAGTTTAAAAAAATCAATTATGTCAGTCCTATTCCAAACATCTTGTTAGAATACAGGCCATAATGGAACGTTTTATACTATAACTATCTATATTATGAAAACCTACACTAAACTTTTCGTTGTTTAAATCTATAAACACAAGCAGAGTACTACTCCTGAAATGTTTTACGTCTTGAACTAACTTCAATTACCGTATTTATATTAAACAAATTTTAGCTCAAGTCTATATGTTTGTGGTGGTCAGTATTTAATATAATCCTTAAACTTCGTATACAGTTAGTCCTAATAATCGTCACTAGGATACACGCCAACGGTGTATTATTCAGAAGGTGAATACGAAGATCACTAAAATTACAGATACGCTAAGCAAGCATGAAAGAGTAGTGCCGACAAGCGAGTGAGCATGCGAGTCGAAGGAGTGAGCGGGAGAACAGAATTGAAATGTTTATGAAATGAATGACTTATAGTAAATCTGTCAGAGTTAATATATGCGTAGGCAGTAAGCAATGCTCAAGTATACACATTCATACAGGTGCAATAATAATAAAGATACAATGGTATATGATAAGTTGTTATTGTACGGATGACTCTATCCGTTAAATAAGTTAACAAAAGGGCTTAACCAAATTACATGTGAACAAACTTAATTGCACGTGAGCTGCTATATGTTTTTCGTTACTAAAGTTGAATATTAACTAGCAATGAAGTATATGATTTGGATTTCTTTTTGTTTGGGATTTGTCATAGGATTCTACCTGCATTAGTGTCGATTTTTACATGTGGACTCGAACCCGATACCTTTAACGTCGAATTGTAACGCATTGTCCAGAAAGAATATAAATGGGATGAAACATTCTCATATGCTTTTTATTGTGTTTCCTTCTTTTAAGTCTACACATTTTTGTAATCACTAAAACAATCTCTACAATAAAAAATTTTTTTGTTATATCCTAATGACCAGAAAAATTTTAAGTCACTCTGAAGATTAGGTTTATATTAAGTCACCAAACATTAGAAATAAAATTTTTTCAACCCAGTGAGAGATTTAAAACAATTAATCCCTTTGATAAATTTCGATGATGCAATGAGAAGACGAAGATTATTAGAATTATGTGATATATTTGCTCCATACGTTTTTAACAGTCTGATCACACATATACTTGTTAAGACATTTCTATATGAAAAATGGTTGCAGAAACAAATGGATTTCAATGGTCAAATAAGATCACAGGATAGACAAACATCATCCTCCATTGCGAAACATTTGATTGAGACATCAGCATTTGTAGTGTTATACAAAAGCCTTCAAGGACGTATACTAAGGTTTATGGAAGCTTTGGTTATACGGAAATTGAAACCCCCTTTATGTGTTCAAAAACAATTAGTCCTTACACTTAACCTACCCTGGTATTACTGATTTGTTATCCAGAGTCGTAATCACATTTGCTTTTGTGTACTTTAGTATTATTGTTTTCTTTTTTACGGCTTACCTTTAACCTGTCTAGTTGACCTTTCAATTTTCATATAGCAAATGTCTTAACAAGTATATGTGTGATCAGATTGTTCGAAATGTATGGAGCAAATATACCACATAATTCTGATAAACTTCGTCTTCTTATTGCATTATCAGTAAAATATAATAAAAATAAATATATATGATTGGACAATTATTGGTTCTCTTAACAACTTAAGCACACCTCCCGGAAGCCTCTAGAAGCTCAAGATCACCCAGTTTTTCAGTTTCTGTATAAAAATAAAATTTAGAAGATCTCAGTAGACTAGAAAACAGTTGTGATATCGGTATCTAAGCTTTTAAGTTAAAGATGCGATACCAACTCAGTATCCTAATGATTAACATGCAAATATTTGAAGAAATGAAAGTTAAATTTTAAGTTTCAAAGGACATCTATCTACATAACTGGAGGTACATTCAGCTGATAAGGATCACATTTTGGCTTTACGTTCTTCCAATTCTGCACCCAGTACACAAGCTTCCTATATCTAAGCTCAACCAGCTATTTGAATGAGAAAACCGACAGTGACTAGAAAGCTTTAAGATAAAGATCCGAGTGTTAAAATATGCGTACACTCATTCATTCATTCATTCATTCATATATATATATATATATATATATATATATATATATATATATATATATATATACGATATATATATACGATATATACGATACTATTTGTTATTCTTAATGATTTCTAGTCAAACAAGTGATAATATTGAATTTTCGCTAGACATTTTGCTTCACTGTTCAAAATAACAAGAATTATTTCATTAGGTGTATTTACTTTTCAGTGAAGTATATTTTCATTCTTACTTATCATGTGACATACATCCACAAATTTATGAATAGAAACAATTGTTAACAACGCTGCTTCAAAGTCCCTGATTATTTATTAACTTAAATATATGCTGATCTATCAGTCAATAGTGACAAGTATTGTGTTTATCCTTTCATTTAGTACTGATCAACTTTCTTTTCGTAAAATTCTGACATCTCCAGTGGCCTAAATATCTTAACAGTATGGGATCTTTTATGTTGTAGTAAATGAATACTTGGACCTGATTTCTATCGGTCTAATTATTTGCAGAAAATCTTTACAAGCCACCGTGAACCTAAGTAATGAGAAATCCAGGCAGTACTGTAGCTATGATTCGATTATCTCTCTCATAATTCCTTTATTCTATCCATGTCAGAAACGAGAGGCGATTAATGTAGAATTTGAGAGTTCGATTTATCAGGCTATGAAAAGAATTATCATATGAGTATGAGTGATTGTGAGCATATACGAATAAATGTAAAAAAACTATAGCTTACCACTTTTTAAAAACGCTTCGTTCATATTTTCGGAATATTCACAAGCTTATTGCTTAAAAATCAAGAATTTTGTAACAGTACTGCATATTTTACACAGTGAATCCTTGACTGTAATCAAACATATGATATTGAATAAAAGGTCTATTATTGTTATAGTTAATATAGTGACCAAAGTTTTAACTGATTGGAATGTGAATGATATATGAAATTTGTTTTTTTCGAAGCATTTTTGACATTGTTTATCTTGGTAAACTAACCATATTTGTTACTTATAGACATTTAACTTTATTTTAATTGTTGAGATCATGAGTCAATTGAAGATAGACCACCATCGAAAACCTGGAAGCACTGAGTCAGTTGTGAGATAGGAACTCACTGATGACAGTGGTGGATGTGTCGCTCAATTTCGTGGATTAGTTGATGTCAGACATTAACACTGTTGGATGCCGGCTCAGTGGTCTAGTGGTTAAGTGCTCACGCGCGAGACCAGTAAGTCCTGGGTTCGGATTTCACGAGGCGGGATTGTGGATGCGCACTGTTGAGGAGTCCCACGATAGGACGGAACGGCTTTCCAATGCTGCGAGGTTTTTCATGGTGGTCTAGCTTCAACTGACTCATGATCTCAAATATTGAAATTACTAAAATCTCCACAAGAAAACCCTTTTGATTTAACTTTATGGTGTGTTCATTTACTAAATTAGTGAGTTATTTATAGTGAATAATACTCAATTTACGGTGTACAAATCTGACGATCAGCGTGAATTATATCACAATTAGTGTGTTCAGAATATGTTTTGACTTATTTTTGGTGCCAAATAGTTCCTTATTAACCGTCTTTATGTCGTTACTTGAGTCATCCAATAGACAGTTTAATTATTAATATGACAATATTCCTCAGGAACACTAAAGACAGTAAATTATTTACTTCAGTTCACTTAAATGTCTTGTGTGAAATCTTGACCTGAGGTTATATTATCTTATTTCATCCAAGTTGAATGTGATAAATTGTCTAGAAGACGACAATAGTTGGATACTGACATTATGATTTTCAAGAAATCTCCACGTACCATGTTTCAATCTCTTCAAATCTCTTATAACTTCAATGAACCTGTTTATTCTATGCTCTTTGTATTAGCATTGATTTTCTTGTTATTCTCAAGATCTATACCAATTAAAAAAAGACAAAGTTATGCTAACGTGTTGTTATTTGATTAATTAGTAGAAGATTGACCTATTGTCAATGATTTTATTACAGATGAAATTGTTTATCTTATATATTCATTTAACTGATCAATTAATACTAATACTAATACTAATGATAATGTGTGTATTTCGATAAGGAAGTGTAAACGTTTTGATTTTTCACTACTATAAATAGTAGTAGTACATTTAAATATTACTGTTTGTAACCTTTGTACTTATTTTTTATTCATATCTCAAATAGAGTTGACTGCTTTGTAATCAATTATGCATGTTTATTTGTCTTTTCGCCTACGTGTGTTCATACTTGTGTACAGCTCGGTAATTAAGAAAAGAAACAATTCAGCTCATAGGTTATTTTACACAAAATCTCATGCTTATACATTGTAGATTCAAAATGTGACCTATTTGAATAGATACACAATTGATTATATATATATATATATATATATATATATATATATATATATATATATATATATATATATATATATATATATATATATATATATAACTTGTACACAGTTCATAACTTACATTGTTCTTCATTTTAATTAAGATAACAAGAGTAAGTTAATTCATTTTGTGTCATGGTTCAGTTTATGTTTATTTCGTTGTATTCTATCAGGAAAACAACATCATTTTACATTCAAAACGAAGATCACTTTGAGTTTATAAAATATTAACGATAATATTGGTATTGGTTTTAAATATCTAATGAAATATATTTATTAAATAAACTTGTTTGGTATATATGTAGTAGTAGTTTGAAGTAACCCGTTGTTGATTCACAAGAGAATCTTGATCAGTCTTACCCAGCATATACGTATCTTGTGAGAACTGCCTCGGCATAACGATTATATCATAAGCTATTTCGCACAGATGGATTATGAATAGCATTGGAATCCAGGACGCGGGTTTCTTTCTATTTTGAAACTCGTCAGCTCGAAATACCTCCAACCCAGTGTTGTTACTCACGTAGGAGCGTATATATATGGAAAACATGTTAGTATATATTTTATCCAATTCATTGTATGATACAAAATACTCTGATATATTTTATAGTATTTTCTTAACAAATCTATCTCAATAAAAGTTATCTTAATTATTTGATTATACTCTTTTACATCACAGTGCAATTCGCTAACTCATATAAAAAGTATTGATTTATCAGTTTAAAGCCTTCACTCAAAATTCTTTCATTTTAATAGTTTTCTTTGTCGAAAGTATGAAGTTGGTAGCTAAAATTATCTAAGAATATAGATCTTCATACCAATAGTGTAGTTATTCAACAGTCATGAAATTATTTCTGGCGAACGTCACTTAATGAAATAACATTTCATGAAACTACAAGAAAGATATATGATTCAGATGAATATTGCTGATGGTCCTATGTTGTTTAATCTGGATGGTTTAGTTGTAAGAGATTTGGAGAATAGTTAGAAAATATTTCGTGTATAATTGAAGTTTAGAACGATATTTTCTATCACGATGATTTACACTTTATAACTAAAACATTCAGCTAAGCAAATTCAACAAACACACATAACAAAAAAGTAACCATCTAAACTGTAAATATTTTCATTAACTCTTGGAGTAAATGTTAATATGTAATTTTAGTCATCAAAAATAAATTCTGTTTAGAAAATATTTAAGATAGGTCGTAAGTGATGAAATAGTTCAAACTCAGAAGGTGGGTTTTTTTCTTGGACATTTAATAAAGCTGACTGGTGATCCACTATTTTTTTTAAAAAGTAGCTTAAAATATATGAATTTCATATAAAAGATGAAAGGTTGAGAAAGATCATGAATCAACTGAAGTTAGACATTAACATCGTTAGATGCCAGTTCAATGGTCTAGAGATTAAGCGTTCGTGCGTGAGACCGAATATCATGGGTTCACCTCTCACGTGAGGGATATTGGATACGCAGCACTGAGGAGTCCTATACTAGGACGTAACGGTCATCCAGTGCTTTTATGTTTTAATGGTGGTCTAGCTGAGATCGACTCATGAATTCAACTACTTAAATTACTACAATCTCCACAAATTCCCATTCTGATAAAAGATACCTTTTTAAAAAATCTCTATCTCCTATGTGTAAAACAGACTAAATATAAAATACATTGAAATATTATTCTGCATAGATACAACTTAATCGATCAACAGTTTGTATCAATCGAATCTTAACAGTTGTATCATCGAATAAATACATACCACCGAAATAATGGATACTGTTTTAAAGCATTCACAATACATACTAATGGTAATTAACTAAACTATATCTGAATTCAATGATACCATAACTTTTGACTAAACAATCATTAGTATTTATCAAAGGTTCAAAGTCAACATATTTTACTAAATAATAAACTAAATATCTTCAACAAATGGATTATTTGTGAATATTTTGTTGATTTTAGTTAAATTTTAAGGATGGCAAGAATTGGCAAAGGAATTCAATCATGTCTATCCTGGATTCATCAAAGAGATGGTAGGGTGCCATCAAATGCAATTGATGCAGGTCATGCTGTTTATATTGCTCGTATATATCATTCTGGCGATCTAATTCCTGGTAAAGTTGTACCACATTTGGGCAAAGCTTATGTTAGTTATGATGGAACAGAATATGAATTCGATTCATATGAGGTATTATGTGATACAAAATTACCACATGGTCCCCAACAGTGGTATGTTATCATAAGAACGATTACATTTTACATTGAAATGTTGTTGACTAAACACCTCCCTCCATGACTATCAAATATTTAGATGCGGTACACTTTATTTTTAATAACATAGGACTCATGACTGTATTATAAATTCATTGGAAGTATTTGTTTAGCACGAATGACTAAACAATGATGATATATCAGTCACCACTCAGTATGCATATCTCAATCCTACAGAAATTTAGTCTCTGCCCAAATATCCATATGGTATAGCCTTATTAATTTTAATACTGAGTGATATGGTTTTTAATCCTACGAAGAGTACCAAGTTCCTCAAGGTTACAGATCAACCTTATTAACGATTTCTAACTAACATGAAACTTATTTATAGAACATGTTGCCAACAGCTTTCAACATCCTAACATTAACTACATACATATAAAAATTTCTAATTTGTCAGGCCTAATGGTAGAATAATATCTCAATAGAACTAATCACTTTAAAGATACTTCCTAACTCTTAGGTAACCCTATATACAGCCAATTTTCTAAGAATAAAACAATATAAACTGTAACAAAATCGAATCTTTAATAATAACAATACAAAATTGAAAATATTCCTTTCAAAAAACACAAATCAAAATATTATGCAATCACTTTCAGACATTAGTGTTCTAGATAATGATAAGTCTTGCGGATTGAACGCTATATTCGTCTCCTAAGCTATTCTGTAATCCCCAAGCTAGAACTATACAGCGACCTGAACACGAGAGAGAAGACTCAAAGTATGCGGAAAGTAGTTTACTCCAAGGTTCATTTTAATACAGAAAATACAGGGTTTTTATATTTTAAATGTCCTTGGGTTGCTAGAAGATTCTGGAATGCTACTAAACATAGTAGCAGTGTAGCAGCCAACCAATCAGAGCCTCTGCATGTGACGTTCCGCTTCCTTGATATTTTTGGCCAAGACTCCAATTGAACGCTGATTGGATGAAACGCTCCTTAGTGTTTCCTGATGCTTGCTTATCTTTGCAAGCAATTTTCTGGATCACCCCAACAGATAACAATTAAAGTTTTTTTAATGCTATTGTCGCTTACTATTTTTTTAAAAATATCCTAGTTACAAATGGGAACGACATAGTAATGGATATGTTCCTAAATATGCCGTTGTTGGAGGTATCACTTCTTCCAATGAACCACTTTATATAGCTCGAGAATATATTAATGGTGAACGTGTAGTTGGAAAAGTAAGTCACTTTATTCTAGAGATATTATACATGATTCTAAAATAATGCAATAAATGTGTTATTCTATTATAAATGTAAAACAATAAATAATCATTATTGGAGATTTACGTTATCTAGCTGTTAATATTTAGAACTCAATTCTAATCAAATTCATACTAATAATGATCTAAGTATAATACCTTTTAAACAAGTTAGTAATTAGCTGAACTTAATAGCTCATTGAATGAAACGTTAATGGTTTGTAGAACAAGGGAATTTATATATAAATCCTAATGTAAATATTAACAATAAGATTCAGGTATATCGAATTGACTAGTCTTAGATAGAATGAAACTCTCACACTGGTTTTCATTGTCAGCCACAATCCATCTATTTTCTAATATAAATCGACATTGTAGTTTTTTACTATTCTTTTTTCAATATAAGAATAAATATACATAGCATTGATGGATAGTGGCTAACAGTGGAATCCAGGATGCGCGTTTCATCCTATTTGGGATTCGTCAGCTAGATGTATCTGTACCCCAGAATTGATGATCACTCTGGGAAGATACAAATAAAAACAACACCAAATGAATTTATAAATATACATAGTTTGTAAAACAGAAAAGAACGAATGACTAATCCGGTATATTGAATAAATGCATAGTTCATAATTTCATTAGCTACCCTATCAGTTTATATTAGAAGGATCTCAAAAACAAACGTATTATCCTCATGAAAATAACAAATCGATTAATTCATCGCAATTTACATGAGTAGCACGTACATTATCTTAGTTTATTGATTATTATATTATGATATAATCAATAAATTGATATTATAAACAGATTTTTTTCTCTTCAATTCTCAGAAGTTTTCAAATTACACTTTTTCTCTGAATGATAAACACATAAAAACTGGGTGAAAAAAACACACATTCATTACAGGAGAAAATATATAACCATGAGGTTTATTTATTGATTTACGTTCAATTTTATTGATCGACTCTGTAATGTAATCACACTAATGAACTTTATATGATGTTAGATTCATAAAATCTTGAATTTTAGTTTCATGTAGATTGATACATGTCTGAGTGGTTTACATGTAGTGTTAGCAAGGCTAATACAGTCTTATTGATTCTAATTCAGTACTGTAGTTAGACACATTATCACTAACATTCATTTTGAATAACCATAAAGCTTCTTCAAATAATATACAATACTTGTTTTTGTTATGACTTTTTGACTTTAAGATTGGCTCTGAATATATTCCAGCATATTCATGTAGTACTTTAATAAGACAAGTAACCCAGTAATTGTGATCTTGTATTTTATAAATACAAAAAAACACACTTATGAATATCAAATAGATATTCCATTATATAATGTGCTCTCATCAGTTTATCCCATATCTAACGAAAACATTTATAAGTAAGGATAAATTATATAGACCTTTAAATCATACAGTTTAATTAACAGTTGTACATAGTCCTAAAGAGTCCTATACTAGGGAAGAAATAATTGTTTAATGATTTTAAATCATCATTAGTTTATTAAGGTCAATTTATGATGTAAACTATATAACACAAACATTTATAATAGATTCATATGTTCTTATATTAATTAATTTTATTGAAAAGGTTCATGAAAGTCATGAATGCGCTTATTTCCCTTATGGTGGTCAAGAAAGAAAAATGCATCATTATGAAGTTCTTGTATTAATTAAATGATTACAAAAAAGAAAAGGAAAAGAGAAAAATACAGACAATACCCAAACCACAATTATCGTAAATTGAATTTTTTTTCACTTTTAGAATAAAAAAACCAATCTTAATTAGCTTCATTTATTATTTCATCAATTCTTATTCAGGATTTTTGTTACTAACCTACATTTTTTAAAAACCCAAATGATAATCATGTTTTCCGAACAAAATCTATTTGTCATAATTATTTTTCTTATTAAATTCATATATAAGAATAGTATAATCTGTTATATCTTTCTTGACTATTTCTTTAATAGTATCAGAAGAGGTTTTGTGGAGATTGTAGTAATTTCAATAGTTGAGATCGTGAGTCAGTTAAAGCTAGACCGCCATCAAAAACCTGGAATCACTGAACAGCCGTTTCGTCTTATTGTGGGACTTCCCAACAGAGCGCATCTACGATCCCATCCTCCCTGCAAGATTTGAACCCAGGGCCTATCATTCTCCAGCGCGAACACCTAACCACTAGACCACTGAGCCGGCATCCAACAGTGTTAATGTCTAACATCAACTAATCCACAAGATTGAGCGATACATCCACCATTGTGATCAGTGAGTTGCTATCTCACAACTGACTCAGTGCTTCCAGGTTTTCGATGGTGGTCTATCTTCAATTGACTCATGATCTCAACTACTGATATTTCTTTAATATAAAATGTCAACTATATGGAATTTTTAGAATCCAAAAAGCGTTGCATAGTGTTTTACATTAGTTTCGATAGAAATTACTCATCAAAGCTAAACTAACACAAGACAAATAACAGATAGAAGGATTTAAAACTATTTACTTCATTATGGTAACTTTTATTCCTTAGACTATCAAAATAAGTGTTATTATAATGAAATAATAAACATTACATAATTTGACATAATCCATTGTGATCGAGAAAGCAGGTGGGGATAACCAAAATATTTTATTACAAACTTACAGAGTTCTTTGATAAATTTGTGAAAAACATACATTCAATACTTGATTTACAAATCCTTTATCAATTACCTCAGTCTTCATTATTCCTTTATTGGAATAATAATTACTCTCTATTCCCATTCTCTCTGATTCAAACTTCCTAAGTTTCTGCTGCCAGATATTCTATTCCTGATTGATGTTATAATACTATTTACATCGACATAAGTAGCATACACCACAATCCTTCCAAAGGTCATTGATAATTATACATATAATTAATTATCAATGACCTTGGAATCATATATATTCTGAAAAGGGTTACGTAATATTTGCCAATTTGCAGAGAATGTTAGTTCGAGCACGAATTTGAAAAATTAGGACCTCATTATTTGAAAAGACGTATGTTATCAATTATTTTGAGTGAAAATATGATGCACTAAATACAAACAAAATGTATGATCAAAGTGGAAATAATTTAAGTACATAATATCTTATTCAGTAGCTGATTGTATTAGTTACAAACTATGTACGCATAGAACTATCTTTACTAGTGTATGAAAAAGATAAACATAACTACAACGTCAGATGCCAAAGAAAGAAGGCTAAACCTTTTATTCACCAGAGTTTCATAAACCCTTTCATTTTTCAGTATTAACTGGTAACAAGTGTTTTGGGCTGTTTAAGGTTAAGTGGTTGACTTTATAGTTTGTTTAATTTGTAGGAGAGAATCGAGTTTATAACAACAGAATCATCAAAGGCGTACAATCTAAGCTGGATTACATAAACGTTGTAGTGAAATTTACGAAAAAAACACCAAGTATTTCATGAAATCCTGAAGCTACGATGAGAGTAACTACTTTCAAATAAATATCTCAAGATCTTAAAAACCATTGACCTGTTGTGAAAGATATCGAATATATTCTACCAAACATCCTTATCTCGATGAAAATTAATGCACTGAATTTGGAAGCATTATGTGTCTGTATAATTATCCGATCAAACGTAAAACGAAAAGCAACTAAAGAGTTTAACATTTAAAGAATCCCAAGGATAACATGCACTGTGGAAACAATAATGAAACAAGTGTGTTGCCGTAAACGTTGAGTATTTTATAAGTGATGATATGTATAATTATACAAGTCATATGAATTGATCATTAATTCACTTATAGTGTACCTTATATGTAATACGGCATTTTATTAATCGTCATACAAAATTAAACGTCGAGGCTTTCTTTCTTACATCATCAATATTCAAGTCATTTGAGAAACAAAGCATAAATGTATTTGTATCAGAAGGGGTTTTGTGGAGATTGTAGTAATCTCAACAGTTGAGATCATGAGTGAATTGAGTAAACCAAATATTTAACAGTTCGATTCAAAAAGTACTTTGTAATAATAGAAGTAGCAATATTGCTGAGGTTTTAAAAACAAAGAACCTAGACACCAATCGTTAATGTTAAAAATATAACAGTTTCATTGACATTGTTACAAAAATAATAACCGTGTAATGTCTGGTAAAAAATGGAAATTTCTCTAATGTAGGTGACTAGTTATTGATTAATAAAAGATTTTAAAAAACAACAACAAAAAATTGAGTTCTTTGAAATGGTTTAGATTCAACGAAATTTACTTTAACTACCCATAACACAAAGATTTCATTTAGAAATCACATAATGGCCCATATAACCTTGCAGTAGTGATAAGAATTACGTTGAATATACACTAAGAATTAACTGAACTCTATATTTCTATATGGATTTCTTTATGGATTTACATTCACAATGATTAGTACAGATTAGTGAACGAAATCAAATTCAATAGTATAAGAGTAAAAATAGTTTCAGTCAAAAATAATTGACAGTATAGGGTTGTGGAGATTATTAGGTTTTTGATTGAGATCATGAAGTGATTAATGTTAGACAACCATTGAAAACCTGGAAGCACTGGACGGCCTTTTCGTCCTATTATTGGATTCCTCAACAGTGCCTATCCACAATCCCGCTCGCAGGATTCAAACGCAAGCAGTATACCGAGGTTTATTGAAACCTTAATCATACGACAATTTAAACCCACTGCATATATTCAAAAACAGTTTGTTCTCATCCTAAACCTATCCTAGTAAAGTTAGCACGTTATCCAGCATGATGAATATTCACACCGTTTTCTTTATTATCTTTGTCTCCTCTTACATCTCCATTTGTTTAGATGACCTTCTATTTCTAAATGTAAATGTGCTTAAGAAGTGTATTATATATGATCAGATTGTCGAAATGTATTGTGCTAATAAAACACATAGTTCTGATAATCTTCGTCTTCTTATTACACTATCGAAATAGTCAGATATATCAAAGTGACAGATCGTGGAGAAGATTTGTAGCTCAGGTGGATGATTTTGGTGGAGTTTTGTTCTCTGAGCTGGATGGTTTGGTCGTGGAGCTCCCCGGAACGCCAACGTACAATTTGTCAAAAGAAATTTCACGAATACTGAGACATCTAGTAGATTCAGCCAACCACTCCATCAAATCCCCAACAAAATTCCTGGACCAAATTAAGGATATTCAAATCAACAACGACGAACTCATGATATCCTTCGATGTAACAGCACTGTTCACCTCAAATGAACCACAGTTAACAAAAGAAACTATATCCCTGCTGCTCAACAACGACACAAATCTCACCAAATACACGAAGCTTCAAATTCAAAGTCTACTGGAACTCATCGATTTATGCCCAACAACATATTTTCAACTCAACAACAAAATCTACGAACAAACGAAAGGGTCACCAATGGGATCACGAATATCAGGACTGATCGCAGAGGCACTGATGCAAAGACTAGAAGCCACTATATTACCAGTGATCAAGCCAAAAATTTGGATCCGCTATGTAGACGACACCTTCGTCATCGTCAAAAAGGATGAACTGGAAAACACTTACAAACTGATCAACAACGTTTTCAATGACATCAAGTTTACAATGGAACAGGAGTCAAACAACCAACTAGCATTCTTGGACATATTGATCACTAGAACCGACACAGGAAAACTGGAAACTCAAATATATAGGAAACCGACCCATATAGATTAAATTCTCAACTACAATAGCAACAACCCAAGAGCTCACAAAATCAACTGCGTACACACATTGTTCAAGAGGGCAAGGACACATTGCAGCACACTGGCAGCACGAAAAAATGAAGAGAAATACCTAAAGGACATATTTCAAAAGGACGGCTACCCAATCAACTTCATCAAAAACACCAACCGCATGCAGCATCAGAGCCCAAGTCAAGCACAAAAATCAATAAAAGGATCACCCTACCATATATACAAGGAATATCAGAAACCTCAACGAGACTGCTGAAAACCTTCGGGATAGGTGTGGCACACAAACCGACAAAATCACTACAATCAATCCTATGCAAACCAAAGGATGAAATAACAAAGGAAAACAAATCAAACATCATCTACAAAATAAATTGTACCAACTGCGACAAACACTACATCGGACAAAGCGGACGCCCCCTCCACCTTCGCCTACATGAACATCAATTAGCAGTCAAACGCCATGATATCTCTTCACTTATATCAATACACGTGGATAACTACGGACACTCATTCGATTGGAAAAATGTAGAAATCCTAGACAGAGGAAACTCCAAAAACACCAGAGAATTTTTAGAAGCCTGGCATTAAGATCAATCAGCAATCAACAAACATTGAAATCAATCCAATTTATTAACCAATCAGGAAAATCATGCATAAATATCGGAACAAAAATCAAACCAATGGGAGACACAACCAAAACAAAGAAGTAAACAATGATAAATTTAAGGTCGATAAGAACCAATCAACATCGAGGTGCAAAGAACAAGCTGTGAAACACATATGGAGAAATTCGAACACTTCACTTCTATCTGAAGTTTGTACTGATGATGTCGTTCAGAAGAACGATAAAAGCTCCACGACCAAACCATCCAGCTCAGAGAACAAAACTCCACCAAAAGTGACAGATCATATACACTTTCAAAACATAAAATAAACTTTTAATATTTTTTTATTTAGTATAGTTGTAATGATAATAAATAATTATTATTGACAAATTCATAAGGATCAATTTTAAATTAAATACATTTCTTTGTTAAAACAATTTTTTTAGTAAATAAACAAATGTAACGTTTATTTTTCAATATTTCAAAGTAAGTACTTCATAATATTCACATTTACGCTCATCTCCACCCCATGGAAAACATCCCGAGCTTTCACCTTGAATTAACTGATATAATAAACAAAAGAGAGATGGGGAGGGGGAGTGATTCATTACTGAATTATTACAAAGTATGAATAATGACTATAGTAAAAGATTAAGTAAATTCATTTTATGTTGTGTATTTTAAATCTTCCCCTATAGGCATTAATTCATAAAATTGATATTATTTCGTTGTTTATGTTCGAGATTGGAAATTTATCAGTCTTTGTTTACTTATATGCATCTTGTGTGAGTTGTGTTAGTAGCCATTATATAATGATGTGAAAATCAACACTCTGATGTATGTACAATTAGATGACCAGCCTCAAGTAGGACAAAATCCATGTCTATGGCTTCAGTGCTAGCCACAGTCCTTCAATTTTAAATAGCTTTTTTTTATTCTGTTTGAAATATAATTAGTGTAGGACTTGTTTAACTAGCTTAGAGTTAGTTTAAGTTTTGAACGTGATTTTAGTGGACTTTGATTCATGCTGACTTTTTTTCTACACTGTTCACTATGTATCTCTAGGCTAAAGAATCGCCTACTTCATTTGCTAACCACACAGAACCTAACATACTATAACTTTAGAAATACTCCTTATCTTTCCTACCTACTTACATCTAATCACAATAACACATTAATTGTTTAATTGAGTCAAGTTTTTGTTTCAGATTTACAGCTATAATTATAACTAGTTTTATTATTTAAACACTATTCAGTAGAACTATTGACACTTTGATAGTTTACACTTTCAAGAAATTCCGTTTACGATTCTTAGTTTTCACCATGAACTTATTTTCTTTAGGCAGTTACTGAAGATTTGAGAGCAATGGACAACTAATGGAAATGTTAACAATTGTAATTCAATCGAAAATTGACTTTTCTTTCCATCATATCAAGCAATAATTAATCTACTGGGTATAACGCGGGTCCTAACATACTGGGTGACAGTAAGCGGACTCAGTAACCAAATATTTTAATAGAAAAAATCTAATATCATAATAACCTTTATCATTGTATTATTACTAAATTGGTTCTTGAGCTATTGCAATGCTAAAACCTTAGAACTATGATTCAATTCAATGTCGTTTAAGAGTATCTAACTTAATGAGTTACAATCACACCATATTATCTGATGAATCATCACAGTTTGCGTGTAAACCATAGATCATTAAGCAGCCATTTCATCTTGGTCCAGATTTATTCATCAATAGGAAACATGAACGAACAAAATTGAAGCAAGTGACTTCAGTTCTTTCAAAGTCTAAGATACCTTTAGATCATTAAGTTAAAATCAATTTATCTCAGACTTCCAACTTTATCCAACTTTTTTATGATTATCAAATAACATCTTTCATATCTAACTGGCTAAGCCGTAGATAAGGAGTTTTGATTAGTTTATGAAAGACCTTTTAGTGATGTTTAAGTGGCCTTGAGGGTGTCCAACTACTTGGCATGACTAAATGGGAGTTATAAACCTATGTGAAGAATATGATTTACAGTTGATGATTCAGGTTATGAATTAGATTTAAACGGATGAATGAATTTCGCGCCAAGATCCAAGACATGTTAACTTATATCTTATTGGTTCGTTCATAAATTATAATCTCGCCATGAATTCATATTAAACATGATGTATTTATTTTATAGTAAACGTTTAACATGGATTTGTTGAGTGTGACTAATTGATTTTCCACTAATTTGATTTTTAAGAAAAAGTTGTGAATGTTTAAAAACAATATTCACTTAAAAAACCTTGAGAAAATTAAACAGAATATTGAAAACGTTTTAAGCTACTACGAAAAAATTTATTCAATTTCTTTCCTATTTATCAACATTTCTTCAGTTGGATCCATGAGTCGATTGAAGCTAGAAGACCACGGGAAACTTAAGAGCACTGTATGGCCGTTCCGTTCTAGTATAGGACTCCTCAGTGGCGCGCACCCATGACCTCGCCGCGTAGGACTCGAACCCAGGGTCCGTCCGCCTCGAGCGCGAACACAGCCTCTAGACCACTGAGCTGGTATCCAACAGTGGTAATGCCTAGCTTCGACCCATTCACGAAATTGCGCCACCGTTCACCATTGTCTTCAGTAAGCTGATATCTCACATTAGACCTGGTTGAACTCCACTGACCACGACTTCTCACTAGAACTCCAGGAATTATCTCTTGAAGCCAGTCACTAGTGAGCAGATGATGATTATTATCAGAAGAGGGTTTTGTGGAGGACTCCACATGATGAAAATAATCGTCAAATGATTACTCCTTTGAAATGAAAAAAAATTATTTGTTTGTAAGGGTTTATATTTACCTGTTGTTGATGTTATGAACCCATAAGCGAATCGCTTTTTGTAAACAATAGTTCACTAGATAACATGTTAGCATTTTAAGTTAAATGGACCGAGTTCGACTCGCATTATGAACATCAATACAAGGTATATCCAGGTGATTAACCTTAAAATGCAATATAACCTACGTTCTTGTTTCCACTAAAATTAGCTTTAATAAAAATCTTGGAACAATTAAACTTTACACTGGCTACTTAAAATGTTTAAACAGACTTAATTACTGTATTTACATTCAGTAATCTGTTGTATTTAAAGAAAGTATCTCATACTGTAGTAAATACACATCAACATTCAATAAAATCAAACTCACTTTCCCAACAGATACTTCACCTTCAATTACTGCTTTTACAATGTACAATGGTGTACCGAACTTATTTATTCCAGCAACTAACGCATTTTCTGGTACATCACCTCCATTCATCATTATCCATTCATATCTAATTAAATTTAGTAGTAAAAATAAATTATTCAGATAATATTTTTTAAAAAAAATAATAGTTTTAAGTGTATATAAAATAAACTTCGCTTGACACCAGTGTTTACCATTTTCATCAGACATACCTATCAGATTGAATGAATTTATTCTCAGATGCTTTTTACGATTACAAAACAGTACTAATTAAGAACTACTCACTGAATATCCTTTCCAGAGTTTAATATCACTATCAATATATTTTTTCTTTTCTTTTAAGATCAAGTAAGTGAAACGAATTACTATCAGTGTGTCCGGCAGACAAGTCCCAAATAGAACGAAACATAGCTAGCAATGGAATCTAGGGAAATGTGTTAGTTGCTAAGTTTGTAAGGATAGTCAACTTTTTATAAGTTTTTAACTGTTCTAACTATTATTATTGAGATGGTTTAATAAATGAATTAAATTTGTTGAATTCGATATTTTTCCCATTAAATCGATTCCTAAATAATCTTAATAGCTGAATTCATGAGTCGATCTAAGCTAGACCACCATTGAAAACATGAAAGCACTAGACACCGGTTTGTCCACCCACGGTCTCGCACGCAAGACTCGAACCCATGACCTTCGGTCTCACGCGCGAACACCTAAACTCTAGAGCACTGAGCTGGCATTCATCGGTGTTAATGTCTGACTTCAACCAATCCACGATAATGCGCAGCCCTTACCCATTGTCTTAAGTGGATAACTGTCCTACACCCGACACGGATCAGACTCCACTGGTCACGGCTTCTCACTAAAACTCCAGGAAATCTATCTTGAAGCTAGTCATTAATGAGGACATGATTGGATACCGGCTCAGTGGTCTAGAGGTTAGTAATTCGCGCGAGAGACCAAAGGTTATGGGTTTGAGTCTTGCGTGTGGGATCGTGGATGCGCACTGCTGAGGAGCCTTATACTAGGACGTAACAGTCGTCCAGTGCTTTCATGTTTTCAGTGGTGGTCTAGCTTAGATTAACTCATGAATTCAACTACTTAAATTACTACAATCTCCTCAAATCGCCATCCTAAATAACAATCACAAAAGCAGTTTTTGGTCAAGTGACTGATACTAGCCAAAAGTTCATTCATCAAAAGGCAAAATTGAAGTTCATAAATCGAATAATGAGTTCTCATTTTCAATTGCCGTACCAAGTATACTATGAATATATGTAATAGTAGGGAACGAAAGTTGATTGCAAAAACTTCGTCACCCTAAATTTTTGATAAACAAAGTATCACATCGAAAATACCAACAAAAGCGTGAAAAACACACTATTTTCACATACTACTTTATTGATATATTTAGTCATACACGATGTCTTAGAAAGTAAAGACTTTCTTGAGTTATGAATCATTTTGAAATCAATCAATTCCATGGATTGAAAGTTTAAATAACATCAGATACAATGCTGTATATGCTTCAATCTTACTACGAATGACACGATCCTATTCTCCTCCTCAATAGTTTAGTGAATTTATAGAATAAATGGTTAAAGTACTGATTGGATAGTAATGACCTATTAAGTAGTTTTATTCTACCGATCCCTTGTTTAATAAAACCATGAGAAATGATGAACACCGAAGAAGATTGGATAGTAGATCCCGTCTTTAAACTCCAACTCCTCATCAATCCTATTCATTACTCAATACAATATCGAAACAACATAATGAGACAGATATATTAATTTGGAAGATTAACGCAATGTAACTAAGAAGTTAAAGGATTCTCTGAATGATTTTAATTGTTGTAAAAGAATGGATTTATCATAGCAAGAATAAAATTTGAAAATGTTTAGATCTTATTATTATTACTTGTGTTGTAGCTAAGATATCATTAATTGAATTTTAAATAAAATATCTGTAACACGGAACAAGTAAATAGGTAAACATACCCTACTCGACAACCAGGAATACCAGTATTACATAATACTTCATAGTTTGTGAATTCCAACTCTTTACCGTCAAGTGGAATATATGCTTTTCCATATTTCTCTGAAAATTTGCCACAAATTAAATCATTATCGATTTGACAACGAGCCACATAAATTGCTTCATCTGCTTTAACAGCATTCTTTGGAAGTATACCATCTTTGGCTGGAATCCATGATAAGGGAATCTGTAAACCGTTGCTAACTCTTGCCATTACAAATAGATTACTATAAAATAAACATTGAAATAGATTGTAAAGTACAAATAAATATTTCACTGGTGTATGATCAACTGATTTTCTGAAGTGATAGGAATGTTTACAACATAGTTATGCTCTAATACTTATTTAACTGTATAATATATTTATGTACTTACTAATAGAAATCTACAATAATACTTTCAATTAATTTACCAAAGTTTTTTGTATTATTCATTTACATGTCCTATAAGGTTAGAAAGTATTTGTTTAAAACGATAGTAACCTAAAATTCATTTTTTGGATCTGTGGAATGGTCGCCTCCATGTGCATCTACCAGTTCACCTGCTCTTGTGGAGCTAGGTACATTGGCCGTAGCCAGCGCTCGCTTTCAACTCGGATACGGGAACATATTCCAGCTTGGTTCTATAAGGGGAAAGGAAAGCAGTTAGGAGTTCTATACTTGAACACCTAATCGACTGTAACCATTCCACAGATCCAAAAAATGAATTTAAGGTTGTTTATATGATTCGTTCAAATCTACCCAGATTTCTTCGTATCCAACTTTTAAAAATAGCCGAAGCTCTTACCATCCAGAGCTTAAACCAGAACTATGCGTACAAAAGAAGTACGTCTTATCGTTATCGTTACCCTGGCCTTAATTATTTTGATTATCCTACTATTGTTATTATTATTATTGCTGTATTCTCCCTTTATTTATGTCTTAATATTCTCATTGTTTTATTCGTGAATACTCATCATATCACCATATTTATTTTTTACACCTCTATGACCTTTAATTATTATATCAAAAACATTTTAATCATCTTATTATATTCTGTTGTTATTATTCGTATTACGTAATCTAGTATTATAACCCTTTTTATTAACTATGTTCACATTTCCTCACGGAATTAGTACTTTTACAAAAACAAAAAAGTTTCATATATATACGATTGTACAGCTTGATAATAAATTCGTTGAAAAGAGATCCCTTCGCTGAAATTCGTGTTTTAATTTTAATGTTTAAATGGGAACTATTTGTCAATTGATAGTAACCTAAGCATTGTTATTTAATGATCAACTTTAAATATATACCACCTATTCAGTTTGTAATATAATCTCCAAGCTAAATGTTTCAATTTGATTTTGCATTATAATTAGTCTTTTATTACTGATGCCAAAACAGTTTTATAACTGTTAAAATTAATCATAAATTCATCTCTACAGTAACTGAAACAATCCTATTCATTAAAATAGAATCAGCATTTACCAGGGAATGGATTGTAAATACATCTGAGTTTCTATGAAAGTTATAGAGGGATTTTTTAAGGTTTACTCTTACTGTTTTTTTTAAAATTTAACTAAAAAACGGATTTTATCACAGCTAAGGGGGGTATTTTTAGTCTATGGGAAACTTAGTTTTATTCTCTTTCTTTTCTTAAATGAAAGAATATTGTTTAAAACTGACCATGGAATCAATAATTTAGACCTTTTTAATTTCTATTATATACATGTCAAAAACATATTTCTACTTTTTCAATCAATAATGATTGGTTTAATCAGTCACTAGAAATCAAGATTGAACTAATGATTAAACTAATTGACTTTCAGACAGGTTTAAAACTCAACTCTATCTATTTTGATTGGAATCATTTCTTGTTGTTGATTGTCTTTAATATCTAAAGTCCAACTTTGGTATCTTTCTGTTTATCTTTACATTCAGACTTTAAAATATTCTCTAGTTTATGTCATTTTATGATGAAAGCCAGTTTCAAATTAGAAAAAAAAAGTTTTATAAAGCACCAAGAAGAATCGCAGTTATAAATCGTTCAAGTTTGCGTACATTTTTAGTCAAAGTGACTTAACTTCTATAAATCTAACATTTTAAACAAATCATTTTACTGGTGAATCGGGTAAATCTAGCTTAAGCTATTCTGTTGTAAATGATAATAATAGTAATCAGGTGGAACTGAAAGAAACATGTGACCAAATACATTATAAATGAATCATGATCAATTGATTTTCAAAGATTCTGGTAAAGTTGGATAGTAGCCACAAGTGGAATCTAGGAATACTGTTTTTTTTTCTTATTTGAGACTCATCAGTTGGATGTACTTACATTCCAACATAGATTGATTAAAATCCAAACAATATTATCAACAATAGGAATATTGAAATTTTTTCTCGTAATGGTACAACAATATGCAATTCGAATTTGTAATCATTCATTCGAAGTGATAAGGAAAGTCTAACATCTTATAAGATGTTTACTAGTTCTCTGTGAGCGATTCTACTCAAAACTAATTCAAATATATATTTCAATAGTTGAGATCATGAGTCAATTGAAGCTAAACCACCATGGAAAACCTGGAAGCATTGGACAGTTGTTTCGTTCTATTGTGGGACTCCTAAACAGTGCGCATTCAAGATCCCGCTCTCAGAATTCGGAACCAGGACCTATCATGACTATTGAAATTACTACAACATCCGCTCAATAGTGACTAGCTTCAAGATGTATATCTTGGAGTTCTAGTGAGAAACAGTGACCAGTGGAGTTCAACTGGGTCAGTTGTGAGATAGGAACTCACTGAAGACAATGGTGGATGTGTCTCTCAATTTCGTGGATTAGTTGATGTTAGACATTAAAACTACTGGATGCCGCTCAGTGGTCTATTGGTTAAGTGTTCGCACGCGAGACTGACAGGTACTGGTTCAAACCTCGCGAGGCGGGATTGTGGATGCGCCCTGTTGAGGAGTCACAATAAGACGAAACGGCTGTCCAGTGCTTCCAGGTTTTCCATAGTGGTCTAGCTTCAATCGACTCATGATCTCAACTATTGAAATTACTACAATCTCCACAAAACCCCTTCTGCTACTAACCAAAGATCTATGTCAAATATGAATCCCATTAATCTCAGGAACAACTTACATGAATTTAAATTATTAACAATATGAGTAAAATGTTTCACTTGAGATTAATTATTTACATTTACTATATATATAATCTATCCCTGATCCATTATTGGTTTATATTGACAACTAATATCGGATTGGTTGGTCATGTTCATTATTGATTGACAAGTATAATGTCTGTAATTAAACAGTAGTTTAATTGTTTATTCTGCCTTTTATTGGAACCTATCTTTAAAAAAAACTAATAACCATTGTAAAATTATTAATTTATATATTGGATAGTATACACCCATTTGTGTTTCTACCGTTCGTATCAATATAATTATTGTTCACACGAAAGAGATTGTGTTAAACAAAAGTTGAAGAATACAGAAATCAACGTACTCTTTCTTAGATAAGGTTTATTATTATTATTATTCAGCAGATGAATATATTCTGTTTAGAAATACCTAGTTAAAAAAGACTAATTGACCACTATCCATTATTTCAGTTTTATGACAATTAAATTAACAATAAAAGTGTTCATACGTTATTAAGGGAATTATTCATTATAATGTAAGTATTGTTTACAATTAAAAATAGAGAAATGCATTGAAGCTTTTTGTTAAACTGTTTTTTATAGTTACATTAGTTTATTTAGAGTTTTTCATTTCATTACAGTTTATATGATGAAATATTGTTTATCTAAACAATCATTTCAAACCAAAGAATATTAAGTAACCATACTATCAAACATAGTAACGTAAGTCTCAAGGAGTATTAATTGATAACTCCAACTAAAATTAAGGCAAAAACTTTCAGGCTTCACAATGAGCTAATCTACAATGAGTTAAGGTCAAATAATTCACGTTTCTTACTTAAGTCAATTCTTGATATTTCATTCTTATCATCCACTTTCATAGGTGATACCTGACTTACCCTTGTTATGGTTAAACAACACTGATCACGAGAACTTCAGGAATAATTACTCACTTGCATGTTTATCATTATCATTCCTGTTTCGTAGTATTAAGGTGAACCAGAGCTATCAAGAGAAAATTAAAATCTCATAGAGACCATACATTTACTCTAGACTCTAAATATACCTTGTTGACAAATATTAGTTAGCATAAAATATTGATTTAGGCCATCTTGCTGATTACTTTTAATGATGTGACATCAAAATATAGTGCACCCTATATCAATATGTTACATCATTTATTGAGTGTAGTGAAAAAAATGTCATTAATCTTAATCAGATTTAGATTCGTATTCTTCTTTCAAACAATCAGCAACGTGAATGTTAAATTACTAGGAACAGATTATGCATACTATTAGATGTTTAGTGAAACATCTTATGAATACAAAACTAAGTCTTAAATTTTTTGTTAAAAAATGAGTTACATTGAGAACAGTTAAGATTGCTTAAACTTTTCTTCAAGTCCACTAGGTAAATTTTAGTCAATTTGTGAATAGTTCAAAATAAAGAACGTTTTGGTCACGAATAACTCTAAATGGAGAATCATGGTAAAAGGAATTGTTGAAGACAGTAAAATATAGGTGTCACGATAGAGTAGGGTAGATATTTATAAATCAATAAACTACAATCTAGTAGTTTAAGTTTCCAACTTTATTCAATTCATGATCCACAGAGCGATGATCACTATCAGTTTGAAGTATTTTAACTTGGATATTCTTTAACTTCACCTGTACAAAATAACTGAAGTTAATTATGTGAAACATTGAATTCCTATTCATTTGTTAGAAGCACCATGTTTTCCCCAAGTCTTCAACTTTCGAACTCATAAAGGATTGGGATGACCACTGAAAAATCTTCAACCATCAAGAAATAATCGCAAAACCCCTGTAGTGACCTACTTTTATCAAGAGAACGCGATTGGTTTAATGGAAACAATTATTATTATTATAACCAGTTGTACCAGTGATTGTTTTACTGTACTTGTTTGCTAAACTGTACTAAAGACATACATTCTTCCGTTGATTGTGACTTTGCACGCACTTACGTTTGCTCAGTGATTCCGCCTGTACTCCTTTGACACGATCTCGGTATTCTTTCGATATCACGAGATCGCCAACAAATATATCTCGCTACAACCTCCAATCACCTTCTGATATCTGGTACGCAACCTTCTTTTAGTGGTGATCATAGTCAACCGCGACTCAACGCCACACTACATCCCTCCACCAGAGTTTATAATAATTTCCCAACTTATGTTTAAAAAAAACAATAGTATTAACGAAAGCAATTCAAACTTATATTTGTATTATAACTAGGTATATGTTTTTGTTCAGGGAAAAAACCGGAAACACTTTTGTATGAATGTAAATGTGATTATCTACTTAATTTTCACACGTTTATAAAAACTAATTAAGAGTATAAAACTTGTTATTTAATAGTGCACTTCATATTAATAATCTTAAAATGATATGAAGATTAATTGCAGGTAAAACATTATTATAATTATGAAAATCATTTATGTGAATAGTTTCAAATTGTTTCATTCTGTATATTCTGTAAACAAAAACAGGGTGAATAGATAAGTAGGTTAAAAGAAAGTTAACCAAATAAACGAAAAATTATACATTCATTTTCATGATTACATCATCTTTCATGTATTCAACCTACTGAAAAACCGTACATTCATCATGATTTTTTAAGATTCTTTCTCCAAGAACAAACCAATGTATAATGTCAATGATAAGAGTACTACTTGCTACCAAATCGGATATTCATCAATTGTAACCAACTTTCATTTGATTAACTTTTTATTTATTTATTCAATAAGTATTTACCATTCTAACATTTGTGAGCCATTCAAAATAACAACGAATATAGTTTTACATATACTAACTTGTTGAAATATATAACTATTCATATTGTTAAACGGATGCTATAAAAAAACTATGTAGTTCAATGAAATTTTTCATTATATTTGGTTTACCTCTTTAAATACTGTAATATTTTGATAGTCCTATTGTTGCGTAGAAAGGCAATGAAAACTTTACAAATAAGCTATATATCTTAAAGAATCCAATATTATTTGTGTTAATAAGTTGCTTAGAAGTAACCGATATCTTAATTATCTAGTCCTTATTACTGACAGAATTTCACTGATCCAGTTCCAAACGGGACATTGAAATAATCTGTTGACTGAAATGGCTTAGATTCAATAAAAAAGGTATAAATTCGCTCACTCTGTCAACCAATAAAATTTAATTTTCAAAAATTGTGTTATGCTTTCCTTCTCGTACATATCCTCTATACCTGATCTCTTAGACTGCCATTAATATTGTTACTACTTCTACTACCTAAATATTCATCTCCATAACTTCATCTCACTTTGTTGACTTAGTGTAGCAACTTGACCTGTTGCATATTGTTGCCACGTCCGAAGGCTACGTGTAACCAATTAGAATGAGCGACTGAATATTGATGTAAAATCGAGGACCAATTAGTACAAACCTCTCAATCCTATGCGATAATTGTTTCGAAATGAATAATTTAGTTGTCATGTCTCTGATTATGAAACCAACTGATTAGGATTCGAATCCTACAACAACAGTTAATTTCCGTAATAATACAAACAAACTTTGCCGACGAGTGCGTTATCAGTCAAACAGAAAATTCTAAAATTAATATTCCTAACCAAGCATTTCTGAGGACTAACGTCCATAATATTCAAGTTGAATAATGGTACATCTCCTTGTACTGTCGAAAAGCATTACATTTGGCAGCAACTTTATCGCTCTATAATACATGAAATTTTCATAGAACATAAATAACTTACATCAAACTATTTCTGAAAGGAAATGTTAAACTTAGTACAAGTTCAAATGAAAACTGCAAAGGATGTGTTCAGTAGGACTAAGTAAACAAGCGATCATCTTTTTGGTTATGTTCTGATTACCAAATATTCCAATATTAAAACAGAATATTATCTAAGGATTGAGCCATTGGTGATTAAAGCTGACAATCAAATCTTACAATGAAAGATTTAAAATGGGATGAAAACACTCTGGTTATTTATTATGTTTCATACAACAATCATTACTTAAAAAGGGTCAGCTAAAGGATCATTTCGAATTACAAATTTATCATCAGACTCATGTCTATCTAGTCTTCAGTTCAGATTAAATTATATCAATCAAACTGAAATACACTAATTGATCACATGCACTATATTTTGATGTTGGGTGATTAGAAACGACAGAGAGAAAATGTGGTGTTTGAATGAACTGATAATTCCTCTGTACTTGTTGAATGCTTGATTTCGAATTCCAAATACAGTATATTCGTTCGTGCTTATCTAGTACTTCTTGATCCGATTACGTTATTTCTGGGATTCTTAGTTCATACTATAATTCAAATACTCCTGATTATCACAAAAAAACATATTCTGACCTTGCTGTCGTCCTAGATGACACTCATGTGTAGGGTGTATCTACAATTTTCTAAGAACTGATGCTTTCGGCTAGATTTAAAGCCATGTCACCCATTATCACCCAATACCACTTAGCTATCCTGATTAAGAGTAACCTTACATAGGTCTAACATATTCACAAAAACTGATTATTGCTTGACGACTTATGTCATATTTCTCCAATCATTGATCCTGATCAAATTCTATCGATTACTGACTGCTGCATTTTATTTTATCGAAATGATGTAAGCGAAAAATACTCCCTATATTAGCAAAATGGATATGATTAATCCCTTTAGGTTAATCAAGTTATTATAACTGAAAGAATATCCTTTTTTGAGTGTTTATATTTGAGCTAAGAGACTTCATTATCAGTTGCTTAGAGTATATTGAGCTCTAACTTCACTTTTTGAATGCATCCTGAAACATTAACCTGGTCAACTTTGAAACAGTGTTCTTCTAACAATCAAAACTGAAATGATTCACGGTCAACTTATTTCAAGATTGAAAATATAAATTAATAACACTCATTTATTTCTTCATACTACAAGAAATCAAGTGATTAATTCTCATTAGCACAGGAGGATTTGTGGAGATTGTAGAATTTTTATAGTTTAAATCATGAAC